AGCTTGTGAATGAGAATAGAATCGAATCGTGAAATTTGTGTCAAACCCCAGCCCTAATCAGCATGACTGTCAAATAATCCAAAATCTATGGGTCGTTTAATAGGTGCTGTTTGTAGATCTCATTTACCTCCATTTCCTCTGTTCCGGCTTTTTTCTCTTCATTTTCCTGTTCTCCGGTCCCTGGAGTCTTTTGTTCATCTTGATCAACCTGCATTTTGCTCTGTGAATGATTGGAAACACATGGCAGTAACTGCACCAGAACATCAGTCAGCAGCATGGATGTCTTCTACCGCCTCACAGTATGTACATTAATAACATGGAGTAATGCCAAAACACCGATCACGACGAGGGCGTTAAAGCAGAGTTTAGTTCATGTGAACAGTAGTATCCTGCAGCAATACCTCATTCTCTTTCTCTGTGCTGTGCTCGGTGTCCATGCTCTCCTCTTCTTCCTCAGATTTCTGCACCTCCACTAGCGAAGCACTGGACACACTGAAGATCCCGTGGATATTGACTCGCACCTTCACCTTAATCTTTGAGCTCTCGCCAGAGGCCTGGGGAATCACCTTCTGGATCACATACTGGCCTGCGTGAGAGTTTGAGCGTACATGTTTACATACAGAATGAATCCATAACAAAGACTGTACAGTAAATATATGTCACAGAAAGAAAAGAGCATGTGCACGGCTCAGAATATTTGCCATCCATGCAAGTGGCAGGTGAAAGATTACTGGCCATAAAAATAAATTTTTGGATGATTTTAGTTTGTATAGCAACAGAATTGAGATTTTTCTCATTGTGTCGACCATGAATCCGCTAGTCTCTCTGTAAGAAGACACAAGGTCACACAAACATTGTGATTTTGTTTTACGCATTTACATTTCAGCAGTTCAATGCTCCTCGGTTTTTTAAAATAAGACTGGAGTTATGTCAGTGAGAGAGAACAACACTGAGGTAAAAGTCATGGTTTCCTTAGCAGTCCATCTGTATCTCTTAGAATTGTTTAAGTAGCTAACAGATGAAATGGAAACAGCAGTAGATCTTTTAGTGCATATTGCAACGTACATCCAAGAAGACAAATGTAAGGTGGGACTTGTTTCTATGAATCAGATTCTGATGTTGAGATGTGAATGTTGCACTCAAATGTGAAGGCTGATAGTTGAAGTTCTGCAAACTTCATAAGAGAGCAGTCCGGCGTGTTTTTCCTTAAGATTCAGGT